CATAGGCATATACATACACATACAACAGAATAATAATAAATACAAGCAGCATTTCTCATGAACACACAGACTATCAGCAGACACAATCTAAATAAAATATTATCATTCTCTACTGACACACAGCCTTTGAGAAACTATACACTTGGTTTAACATGTACCAGGAAAAGTTGTCACATTTTCTATGGAAAATCCATACCAGCTTGTCACCCTTAACATGTCATTATATCCCGCATGATAAAAAGCTTGAAAACTATTCAAAGAAACACTGACATAACAAGGAAATTACAAAACTGGCTTGTGATATATGGGTTGACATTCAGTGGAGCTTGCATTGTTTTGCTCTTTTTCCACAATATCAGTGACTTTTTGCGACACAATGTAAAATGTATCATTGTCATCTTATTAAATCACTGGAGATTGGAACTGGAATACATTTTACAGTACACATTCTGGTATGGCTAATATAGTAATAAGACCTTAATAGCTTGTGTCTAATCGTCTGACAACCATCAGACACAAAAACAAATCTACATGTTTGTCAAAGTAAGGCAAAATACAGTAACCTATGGTCTCTATCAGTACTGACCACATGAGGCACATGGCACACCACAATGTTAACTTTTGGGAAATATGTTGTAGAACTGCTCATGTATAAACAATCCTATCCACATCTGACTCCACTGCTGCCATGCACACTGGGTAAGGCTGTCTGTTCTGTGTTTGCATGTTGGATGTCTTGGTGTTGGTTTGGAGTACTTCTTCGGAGTCAGTTCCTGTATATTTGAACAAAAGCATCATTAAACATTGATTCACATCACTGAGAAACATGTCACATGATTACGGTGCAACTTACAAAAGCACTAACTTACTTCAAGATAGCATTTACAAACATACATGTATACAATCTAAACCAAACATCATCAGCAGATCATGTTTAGTTACACAATTTTAGGTGCAGGTACCCAACTTTAAATTAGGTACAGGTCCAGACATGTACTTGAACTACGTGTTCACATAATGGTTGGCACTTGAACTTTAATAAAGACAATGACATGTGTACTACGGTCTACCGGTAGGTTCTTTTAGGTCTAATTATTTCCATTCCCGGCATATTAGCGGTCTAGAATTTTGGACTTGTACCTAACCAATTTTACTATTTCTGTGCTGGATTTTACAGACACACAGCACTAATCATCAACATTGGCACCCTTCAGCTCAGGTACAGGTTCTGACCTGATATTTGTTTAGGAACACATTAATACTAAAGTAAAAGTGTGGTGATACTGAGGAGTATGCAGGGGTGTAGTCTTACCTAAGGAGCCTGTAGCAGCAGTCAGGTACTCGAAGACTCAGACGCAGTTGCGTGCCTTTCATCTAGACTGTCCTCCTTACAACCTCTGCTGCATCTACCGTACAGTACATCCTGGAGGTATATAAAAGGGAAAAAATTACACAGGTGACAAACTGTATCACATTATTTACATTTGTCAGAAAACTATCCTGAGGCATCTGCAATATACAATTTGTAACATATTTCTACCAGATATATTGTACATGTACATGTCTTGACGAATCAGCTGTAACTAAATACAATATAAACATTTTGCATTGGGGGGTTTTACTTAACAATACTACTTCTTTTTTATTTATTGATCTTATTCTACTTCTAGTTCACTAGCCAGTAGCCACTATCATAGGACAAATATATAAATTTTCACATTTTTTCACAGCTCTTTTTATCAATACACAAAAGTCATGTACTTACTGTACAGAAATGCCTACTGATC